AAGCTTGAGTTTGAAATGGAGTATTCCATAGTCTGCTAAAAGATGTGTCTTTATAAGCTCCTATGACTTGTTAATACAGTAAAGATGCAAGTGTCAATTTGGTTGAAGTGCCCTGTGCATAATGGAGTTTTACTTCTGGAACTGTATGAACTATGTAAGACAAAACTTTACTGAAGGAAAATAACAACAATATATAAAGCAGATTCACTGTGTTTAACAAATGCTGCATAAAGGTTAATTATAAGTACCACTCTTCAGTAACCATTCTACAGATGTGATTATTATAGGTACTCTTGGGAATGACAGAAAATTGAGATTGGAAAGATTTTTAAGAGGTTTCACAAATTGGAACTTTAAGTGAATACTTTGTGTACCAGAATGTATCATTTTGTGCAGTTTCAGTGGGGCAGAACAACAAACTCAACTGAACATTTGCAAAGCCCTTTCAGTAAATAGGTTGGAGAGAGTACCATGCTGTACTTTGTACATTTTATTTTGAATTTGGGGAGTACTTTCTTGGAGTTATTCTTTAAATTTTCATCCCCTCCTGTTCCCCATCACAGCATGGGTCCTTTAGCTATCAAACAATAAAACAGCAGCTGGCTAAGGATTAAGTTTGATTATCTTATATTGTTACAGTAAGGTTCAAAATCAATGTAATTAAGCCTGAATGGAATGCAAGTGATCTAGACTTGAGCAAAAGGGAAAAGGGGAAAGCTCACTTCTTGTCTAGGCAAGGTACAATGCCATTAATGATTAGTCTTACATCTGATGATGAGCAACAGTCAACAAAAGAGTCAACCTCTCATTTTCTGTCAGATTTAAGGGAGTCTCCTTTTCTGGGCAGCACTCCTGGACCAGCCAACAAGAGCTACCCTAAATTATTATTGGGGCACTTTATTTATGAGATTGTGCCTTCTTTGTTCAGTCATAAAATTGACAAGTTGATGTAGAATGGTTCTTTGTGTAAGCATGAGAACAAAATTAGATGTGTCTCAAGAGATTGGTGATCCATAAATAGCTATACAGTGGATCGGATTGTGCATATATTAATAAGAGAGAGCTCATAAACTTCACT